TGAATGAGCAAATACCCAAATATTGATGCTTCTGTGTTCCAAATACAGAAGATTTTTCCACATATTATCAGAGAAGATATTATTTAGGTACCTTAAAAAATAAGTACCAATCTTTAAACAGGTACTCAATTTGAGCAATTTCCGCACATTTTCTCAATTATATTTTAGCTCCAAAATAGAAATGCCTACATTTTTCCAATGGCAAGTGAGCTTAAGAATTCTGCCTAGCAGGCATTATATAAAGTTGGGAAGCTATCTTGATTACAAAATGCCAAGGCATCTGACCTAGCAAATAGTCACAGACTTACAAAATGTGTGGCATCTCTTATAACAATGACTTGCAAAGCATCATATTTAAGTAGTTTTTCAGTGGCAATTTTGGCAATCCAGATACACGATCCTCACCGATCTTCCTTGTGAATGCCATACACACATGTACACACAGAATGATTCAGGCCACACAGAAACCAGAACAGTTAACTGGCCATGAGGGAATCAAATCTTAGTATACCCTGGGTTTCAAGTAATCAATGTTCCCCTTACCCTTTTCTTTTTTTAACTCACAGGAGGCTGCAAAAACAGTACAAAGAGTCTCGTGTACCCTTCACCCAGCTTCTCCCAGTGGTGACACCTTATATAGTTCGAATTAAATATCACAACCAGAAACCTAACATTGGTACATTACTGTATACTAAACTATGGGCTCCTTTATACTTTTTATAGAGAAGTTATACAACAGTGACCTTTCTCGGAAACTCTCTTAGCACTTGGGCATTCTACTACCAGTCAAACTACCAATCTAGACTCTTCTAACCCAATTACAAATTATCATATATAAACAATCTTTATACACATACAAATATGAGCACATCCCATATATTCTTACCACACACATACAATAAAAACAATTGCACCTGTGTCTATAAAAACTTATAATATTTTTCCACTAATTTCTACTCTCCCCTGCTATTGCTACACAAAGACTGTGTAAATAAACCTGCAGGATCAAAAAATATTTAAAAGTTATCTAATGTAAAATTCCATCCAGTTCATTATATAGCATCCCAACAATCAATCTTTCAGCCTTTACCTGAATGTCTCAAATGACAAGAAACTCATAAGATCTAAAGGACTCCAGTATGCCTTTGGTCAATATGTTAATTCTCAAAAGGCATTTCTCATGAGCAGTAATTTGTTTCTCCTGAATTTGTACTAATTTGGTTCTACTTATATCCTATGAGGACATAACATGCAAGTAAGTCTCTTCCCTAACTACCTTTTTCACAGAGAAACCAGGCATCCTGCTTCATATATGATTTTTGTGTATCTATTTTAATGAGGGATTTTATAATCCCAATTCAAAAGCAGAAAATCATTTACTTCTCTTTGAATACTAGATCAACATACAGCTATGGAATTACTATCCCTCTGGGTAAACACTTTCTGAGTTGTCACCTCATACAATGGTACCAGATAGCAGTCTCATACTGTACCAGTAGGTGTCACTCTATATATACTTAAAATTAATTAAGTTTCGATTATTTTATTCAACAAATATTTATTGAGCACCCATTATGTGCCAAGTGATTCTAGGTACTGAGAACATAGTGGTGACCAAGAAAGACACAATCTTGTTTTCACAGAGCTTACAGTCTAGATATTAATAAAAAATCTGCTTTTTTTTTTCTACATAAAAGTTTGTGAAATACTAATCCTAACGCAGTTCAATTCAGAACCGTATTTTTCCTAGGTTAATAGATAACACTCAAAATAACTCATAAAAAACAAATACTGTAATGAAACAATCAAAGAAACTGTGTTCTGTAGGACTAGATCAATATAACCGGGGTATTTTCTAACCTTTTGAATTTATTCAACATTTCTTTTCCATACTTCAAGTTTCTAAAACCCAAATTTTAGGTAGTCCTCAGTAGAATGGAAAGTAACTTATCTTTAAAAAAACAGTTCAACTTTCAAAAAATATACCTGCTTTTTTTTTCTCTCTCTCTCTCTCTGTTTTTTGAGACAGGGTCTGGCTCTGTTGCCCAGGCTGGAGTGCAGTGGCGCAATCTCGGCTCACTGCAACCTCTACCTCCCAGGTTCACACAATTCTCCTGCCTCAGCCTCCCAAGTAGCTGGGATTACAGGAGCCCACCACCATGCCCAGCTAATTTTTATATTTTTATTAGAGATGGGGTTTCCCCATATTGGCTAGGCTGGTCTCAAACTCCTGACCTCAGGTGATCTGCCTACCTCAGCCTCCCAAAGTGCTGGGATTACAGGCATGAGCCACAGCTCCCAGCCTATACCTACTTATGTTTTTACAGGAATATGTTATAAATTTTAAAGACTTATTAATTCTCAAAGCTTCTTAATTCCCCAAATACATATTCCCTTATCTCTACTAAGAAATATTAGGCCAGGCACCATGGCTCACACCTGTAATCCCCGCACTTTGGGAGGCTGAGGCGAGTGGATCATCTGAGGTCAGTAGTTTGAAACCAGCCTGGCCAACATGGTGCAACCCTGTCTCTACTAAAAATACGAAAGAAAATATTAGCCAGGCATGGTGGTGTGCGCCTGTAAATCCCAGCTACTTAGGAGGCTGAGACAGAAGCATCGTTTGAACCCACGAGGTGGAGGCTGCAGTGAGCCAAGATTGTGCCACTGCATTCCAGCCTGGGCGACAGAGTGAGATTCTGTTAATTATTAAAAAAAAAAAAAGTTAAATGTCACCTTCTAAACACCAAACACCTTTCCCAGCTAAACAGAGTAAGAAAAGAAGGTACCAAATTATTCCTCAGCAGAACTTAGGAATTCTTCCACTGTCAAAAGTCCTTCTATTTTCTTCTTTCTTTCTTTCTTTTCCTTCCTTCCTTCCTCCCTCCCTCCCTCCCTCCCTCTCTCTCTCTCTTTCTTTCTTTCTTTTTGGGTGGGGGACAGAGTCTCAGTCTGTCACCCAGGCTGGAGTACAGTGGCACAATCTCAGCTCACTGTAACCTCTGCCTCCCGGGTTCAAGTGATTCTCCTGCCTCAGCCTCCCAAGGAGCTGGGATTACAAGTGTGTGCCACCATGCCCAGCTAATTTTTCGTATTTTTGGTAGAGACAGGGTTTCACCATGTTGCCCAGGCTGGTCTCGAACTTCTGGCCTCAAGTGATCCACCCGCCTCAGCCTCCCAGAGTGCTGAGATTACAGGCGTGAGCCACCACGCCTGACTTTTTTCTTTTCTTTTTTTTTTTTTAAAGACTTGATATTTATTGGTTATTTATTTATTTATTTATTTAGAGACAGAGTTTCACTCTGTCACCCAGGCTGGAGTACAGTGGCATGACCACGGTTCACGGCAGCCTCAAAGTCCCCACGTTCAGGGGATCCTTTCACCTCAGCCTCCCGAGTAGCTGGGACTATACACCCAGCTACTTTTTCTATTTTTTTGTAGAGGCAGGGTCTTACCATGTTGCCCAGATAGTCTCAAACTCCTGGGCTCAAGTGATCTGCCCACCTCGGTCTCCCAAAGTGCTGGGATTACAGGTGTAAACTACAGCACCCAGCCAAGAGCCCTTATTTAAACAAACCTGAGAGACTAATAGCTATTACTAGGACTACAAAGTAACTTACTTACACTCATAGTATAGCAATGAAAGGCCATACTTTGTCAAAGAAATAGAGCTAAGAGAGGGGGCAGTCACTGTACCTCAAGAAGGTATACTTGCCTGCAAAGAAATCTGAGAACCTAGAAACTACTCAATTACTATATTGTCTTCATCTACTCTCAAACTGAATGTTTTCGAAACTGGAAAAGCCACAGGAAACATGGTTATGGAAATATTTCAGGCTCTTAAAAAAAGAAAAATCCTACAGCTTAGAATTTTTTAAGTTCAAAATTCAGTAACATGAATTTGAGAAAAATGATCCTTGCCAGAACTTAAGACACTGACAGTTTTATATAATATCCAACTTAATGTACCCTTGGGAATGCTTCAAACTATTACTGTCTAAATTGCTAGAGAATACTACATATTGTTCAATTTTAGCATGGACTCACATGCATACTTTACAAATACTCAATGAATAGTAAGTTAAAAATGAATATTAAGGTGCTTCATAAAAAACGGTTAATGGTGAAAAAATATCTAAATTAACCTATCCCTTAATATTAAATAAAGCATTTTACTTACTTTGAATGGTAAAGTGGTGGTTGAGCAAATATACTTAAAACATAGTTTGTTGTCCGTGGCTTTTAATTTACACTTGTAAATCATCTGATAGGAACAGTACTGTTAACATTTGGTGTGAGATGTCACCAAATTTGCACATACACAATGGCAGATATCTCTGTGAGGCCAGTACTTTTACCCCCAAAATTAAAATGCACGTGTGTGTGAAGTGAGGGGTTAGTGTACTAGAAAAAGTACAACTTTTGAGTCACAAAAATTAATATTCAAATCCCAGCACCATCCTAAATTAGCTATGTGACTTTGGGCCAAGTTATTTAATCTGCTCTAAACATCACTTTTCCACCAAGATGCAAATAAAATTGTAAGAAAGATTACGTTGCTTCATATAAAATTCCTAATATAGGGTCTGACACATATTAGGTGCTCAATAAATGGTAGTTATAAGGGGATTCCACTTTTCTTTTTGACCATTAAAATGACTGTATTAATTAATGTTGAACAACTACTGGCTCACAATTGTAATTAAACACAAAGTACATCTTTACTCTGCTATAACACTTTTATAAAACCAAATCCCTTACTCAACTGAATGCCAACAAATATGCACCTTCTCCTTTAGCTCAAATATATTTTGCATGACCTTACATGAATTGCTCAGATAAAAGCTTTTTCTCTTCTGCTTTTGTTATTTTAAAGTGCAGATGCATTTGAGTCATTTTCTCCTTTTGTTTCATATCCTTAAGATCCAAAGCTTCAAAGACAGAATGTCAGCATGCAGTCGATTTATGACTGAACTCTTGAAGAGACACTGAAGAATTACCTTGTCAATCACCCCAAGGACTCTGAAGGCCTTCAGCTCCTCGGCAGGGCTCCTTAGGTTCCAAGGGGGCCTTGAACTTAGTGATCCTGGAGGCTAATGGAAGATATCAAAGATTATACATCAATCAGGGAGGTACTTGAAGGAAGGCTGCCTGCTGAAGCAAATGCCAGGCCAAAGGAAAGTAAATTCATCATAAATCAGAGAATGGAAAGATGAAAGGAGGAAGTTTCTGTTTGTCTGTAATACAAAATTTTTAAAAATAAAAACTAAAGAAAATCAAAAAGAAAAAGCAAGAAAAAAGTTGCAAGTAAATAAATCATAACATTGAAAAAATTTTTAAAAAGAAAAATTAATGAGCTGACAGTTTCTAGAGCAATAACTCAATTCAGACCATACAGCTATCATAAAACTTTGTAACAAATGGATAACTGGGCCAACAATCAATCCCAGTATTATATTTACCCCAGACACCTCAACAGTAATTTGGAAGTGGGGGAACTAAAAATAATATAATAATAAGCACACATGGGTAGGGAGGGGCACAAGCCATTCTCTCTCATCATGAAGCTACAGTTCTATGATTGTTACTTTATGTATTATGTGTTTTCAGAGGGACTGGTCCATCCAAATTCAACCAGAAAAATTACCAATAATGGTGAAAAATTAAGAAGCTTCATCATATAACCAATAATCACTAAAACAGAGCCTGCTTACAAGATGATTTACAAGAGAAAGAAATTTTTCTTCAAATATTTGACTATCTGTGATGCGGAAAACAGTCTGTTAGCTACACAAAAAAAAGATTTAAAAAATCAGTGAACATAGGAAGGAACATTTAAATTCTGCACACAATTTTAAAATAATCCCAACTTCCATTTATTAGTTTTAGTTTTTCTCTATCAGTAACATAAGCCATTAAATTAGACAAATTCTAAGGGCACCTCCATATGACATTTACAACTATAAAGTACTGCTATATTGATCCTATATTAAAATGGTGATGCTGCAAAGGACAACAGGAGACACAAAGCCTTATTACATACTTAAAGCAGACCTTCTTGCTATCAAAAATCTATTAGAATACAGAAGAAACATTCTGATTCTATGAATTGAAGATAAAATATCCTGATCAAACACCATGGTAAGGGAATTACTGAGATACCATTTTTGTCCCTGTACAGACCAACATCACCAGACAGGCAGCTCCTTGAGAATAGAAAATGGGTCTTATTCATCTCTATATTCACAGTGCTTTGCATATTGCTAGTATTTAGTTGGAAAATATGAGGGAGAGCAGAAATGAGGAGAGCAGGGAGAAAGGAAGGAATCTTGGAAAATTAGGTGTCACTTACAACTGGGAAAACTACCACTTGTGAAATTCTCTAAAAGCAGCAATTCTAATTGTTTTCCATTTTTGTTTTGTTTATAGATTTAGCAAGAAAATAATAATTTAACTGTACCTGAAATGGTGTTTAAGTTTTAAAAGAGACTTTTTATTTCTTAAAGATGTTTGAAAAAGTTGGCATAATAGTGACAATTAGACTAGATAATAACCTTTAAACTAAGGGGAACCTTTTTAGGGATATACAAACATTTAGCAAGGTATTTTAGTGTTATAATGTAACAGCATTCATTATATTCATTCAGCGTATACTCATTCAGTGTATAATGTAACATTATATTCATTATAGTCATTCAGTGTATAATGTAACCAACATGTAACAGCAATAGCCTTTTTTAAATTTTTTTTTTTGAGATGGAGTTTCGCTCTTGTTGCCCAGGCTGGAGTACAGCAGCTCGATCTTGGCTCACTGCAACCTCTGCCTCCCCGGTTCAAGCGATTCTCCTGCCTCAGCCTCCTGAGTAGCTGGGATTACAGGCACCCACCACCATGGCCAGCTAATTTTTGTATTTTTAGTAGAGACGGAGTTTCACCATGTTGGTGAGGCTGGTTTCGAACTCCTGACCTCAGGTAATCCACCCACCTCATCCTCCCAAAGTGCTGGGACTGAAGGCATGAGCCACCACACCCGGCCAGTAGAAATAGTCTTTTCTATCTTCATTTACATTGTTTCATCTCTATTCTTCACCCCATACCAGGCAATGCACCTACAGGAAGTTAGTATTATATAATTCCAATTTTACAGATGAATAAAGGGATTCTCAGAATGCTGGAGTGTTTGTCTGTGGTCAGAAAGAGAGACAGTGGAAGAACTCCAACTACTATTCTAAAGCTTGCAGTCCTTTTACTAACCAACACATTCTGAAAATTAAAAATTCTTTTCTGCTGCTGCTTCTTGCTACAAGAACAAGTAAGAACTGTTTGTGATTTTAGCAAAAGGAATGCTAAGGAAAAGTTGTAAGGAGGGAAAAAAAATAATACTTTAAATGATATTTAGTCCACTACATTTGTCTTAGAAAATATGGCCAAGTATCTCCAACATCCCTATCTCCTATTTATATCTTCTTATTCACAGATGTCACTGTTTCTTTCGGTTTCCAAAGAAAGTTATTGATTCACTTTGGCAATTTAAGAGCAAAGAAAGCAAACTACAAAATCTTTATCGCATCTTTCAACAAATAATTACTGTGCACCAACTATGTGCATGATAACTGAAAGGGCTATAAATTATCAAAACGCCCAGTCTAACCTCAAGAAGTTCACCATTTATTTGAGGAGATAAGACAAATACATGAAAAGTTAAATAACAATAAAACATTATCTTAAAAATATGGGACTACACAAATATGTCATTAGTGTAAGAAAAACTGTGATAAAGGTGATTTTAAATGTTAAGTGGAAATTAGATTAGGAAAAAGTTATTCTATACTGTATACAACTGGAAAGCATTAGCCTGGTGGGGAAAAGTTATTCAAATTGGAGAACAGAAGAAAATAAAATTATACACTTAGGGTCAGTTTTCGCAGGCCTTGAATGCCAAGAAGAAAAGTCTTGACTATACAGTCTCCGAAGTCTAGACAACAAGTTTTTCTATGAGAAATAACCCAATGAAAACAGTGATTTAGTAAGGTTACTCTTGGAAAGACGTGAATGGGGAAATTGAAGGGGAAATGACCAAAGGCAAAGTGATCATTAAAGTTCTCTTTCTACTTTAACCATCTATAAAAGTTTGAGATCACAGAAATGAACAAAGAAAGATCATGAAATAAAATCATCAATTAAAAAAAATTGTATTTCTCATATGTAGTGCTTAAATTGGGTAGAATCCTATAGATCTACTCCTTTCTTCAGATGGCAAAAGGACATACATATCCAAAAAATTTTAAGAGCAGAAAGAGACCTTAGAGATCAAGTCCAACTTTTTTTTTTAGATGAGAAAACTGAGACGCAGCAAGGTTAGCAAAAGTAGGTAATAGATAAGAAAGGATTAAATCTTACTTATGAAATAAAAGAATGTTATTAGGTGAAATTCGGCCCATTGCGCTATGAAGCGCGATGGGAGAAGCAGTGTATTTCTAGGTAATATGATTGAGTTCCTTAATGGAAAAGTAAGATTTTCACTTATATTTATTAGCTATTACAGCAGAAGATGCCCAGAGAGGCAAAGAATAGTTGTATTCATCTATACCTGGTATAGATGGAAAGAGAGACAAGGGAAGAGACAAGAATACATGATGACCCAACAATCTTCAAAAGCAAAGGTGGCAAGTACATATCATTCAACTGGTCAAGTCCATGGCAGGAATCTCTGCTAATCCCACAGTCTCACAACTCTTCTCAATACAATGCTCCTGGCAGCCACTACTCATGGATTAGAATTGGCACACCAGTTAGAACCTACTTACTATTGTTGTTCTCGCTCTGTCGCCGAGGCTGGAGTGCAGTGACACGATCTCGGCTAACTGCAACCTCGACCTCCCAGGCTCAAACGACAGCCTTGTGCCTCAGCCTCCTGAGTAGCTGGGGTTACTGGCATGTGTCACCACAGCTGGCTAATTTTTTGTGTGTGTATTTGTAGTAGAGATGGGGTTTCACCATGTTGGCCAGGCTGGTCTCGAATGCCTGGCCTCAAGTGATCCATCTGCCTCAGCCTTCCAAAGTGCTGGGATTACAGGCCTGTTGTACATTCTTTAAAAGGCTCTGTTTCTGTTTGGGGATTTGTTTTTGAAGTTGCTGTTCAGCCTGCCCATTGTCTTTTTCACTTGATATTATTTCCTGCTCTCAATGAGCTCTCTCTATTCTTCCCAATCTGTTGGTGCAGTACTTCTTAAATTTTAATGTGTATGTGCATCACCTGATGATCTTGTTAAAAAGAAGATTCTGATTCAGTAGGTCTGATATTCTGCATTTCCACCAAGCTCTCAGGTGATGCTGATGATGCTGGTTCACCAACCACATTTAAAAGAAGGTTACTTACTCCTCAAATAACCTGAGAGAGAGTAACCATTATTGTGGGAAAATAAGCAATCAAGGGCAAAAGGAAAGTACCACAAAGAGTGTATCAAGAAACCACACTCTGAACTCTAATGTCTAATTATGCCAGAGCGCCTGAATTTGGCTTCATCCATGAATTTTTGGCTTTGCAAAGACTTTCATGGGCAATCTACCAACCCTAATACCCAGTCTCCTGAGCCGCACTAGGTCACATTTCAAGCCTGACACTGAATTGCAGACCTATTACTGACTTAAGCAAATGTCTCAGTGAGGGCAAATTTAAAATATTTTCTAAGGAATAATGGAATAATATCAATTAATAATACAAGCAAACAAAATGCACAATAGAAAAACACTTTCAGTATTATTATATCAGTTGCATTCAAAATCTACAAATATTCAGGAAAGGTATACATTCTACATATTAATTTTCACTCACACCTTGTAACTGCATAAAAACATATCCACACTTTAAAAACTACACAATATTTTGTTCTAAATTTAGATCATTTATTGTATTTTTCTAAATTTGATCCAGAGTTTCAAATTCCTACAGCTAAAAAAAGCAAAAAAACTATTCTAAATCCTTTCCAGGGAGAGCTTCTTTTAACATTAATTCTTAAATCATTCAGTGTTGTCTAAGATTTATTTTTTAACAAAAGAAAAAAAAAGAAAGAAATCTGTCTCCTTCAGTTAAGATTCAATCTTTACTTCAAAAAAAAACCTCATTTCTTTTTTTTCTGAAACCTGTTCCTAAATTTTCTTGGAGCCTTTTATTAATGAAGTAATGAAGAAAAAGAGTAAGAGAGTGCTTTTTATCCTTTCTGTACTTTTGCAAAAAAGACATTAACGTGAATGACTGGGAAACTTAGAACTTTTGTATTTACTATATAAGGATCTCTAAAGTTCAATAAAGCAAACACTTAAAACATCACAGAAAACCTGGGTGGAAGGAGTCATGACAGACTGTACCAAAGGAGAAAACGGTAATTAACAAAAATTTAAAAAGCAAAAAAGGGTTCCTTTATTGTCTTAATCAACCAGGCTAGAAAGAAATGTTTGCACACTGATTCCAGAGAGAAGTAGTATCTGCTTTGCACCAAATTTGAGCTAAAGGGGCCTTAGAAATCATTTATACAAATCCTCTCATCATGTTGGTTGAAACTCAGGCCCAAAGATGGTTAAAGAAGTGGAATAATAAATGCACCAAGCTATAACAATCCTCTGAAAGACTTTTAAATTATACATAAGAAAATAATCAAGCATGCTCTTGGCCAAAAAGGGCCAGGCTTAACAAAATAACATACAAAAGGAAAATTTAAAAAGCAAATGTTTACCATGAGAGAAAAATACTGTGCCTACTCTCCTCTAGCCTCCTTGCCTAAGAACTGAAAAAATCCTACATGTCAAATCAGATTCAGAAGGTACCCCTTTTTATCCTTTCTGATAGAATTTTCCATTCCTCTACATGGCTCTTACCAGTGTAACTTTGTTTGCTCAACTATGTACATATATGGGTCCTCAACTATGCTACAGGATTTGCAAGAGCAGGCTGTGTCATCATCTTTTGTGTAACTCCAAAGTATATTTAGTTTGATTCTATATACAGTCTTAACAGATGCTTAATGAGTTAGTGTATAATCAAATGTAATCACCTTTCCTATATTAGATCTCTTCTGTTTTACTCTCATTAGCAGTTATACTTGAAGAAATTCTGACTGATATACTTCATGGTTCTATTCTTCTAGTCTAAACTATACAGAAGGCTCAACATACTTATTTACCTAAGAAATTATTGCTTCATAGACATGCCTATAGGAAACTAACAGGAATGCAAAAGTGGGAGGATTACATAAGTAAGTATAGGTAGACCATTCAAATTTAATGTTATAAGAATGAATAGAATACTGGTAATTTTAAATCCCTAAAACTTTTAGAATATTGGCCAGGCGCGGTGGCTCATGCCTATAATCCCAAGCACTTTGGGAGGCCAAGGCGGGTGGATCACCTTAGATCAGGAGTTCGAGACCAGGCTAGCCAACATGGCGAAACCCCATCTCTACTAAAAATACAAAAATTAGACAGGTATGGTGGCATGCGCCTGTAGTCCCAGCTACTCGGGAGGCTGAGGCAGGAGAATCGCTTGAACCCGGGAGGCAGAGGTTACAATGAGCCGAGATCACTTCACTGCACTCCAGCCTGGGTGACAGAGTGAGACTCCATCTCAAAAAAAAAAAATTTTAAAAAGTAAACAATTTAAAACAAATTTTAGAATATTTATAAGACGCATTTAGTAAAACAAGTTCACAGGGAATTATGTTAATGCTTTTATCAATGCCCCCACCCAAAATGAAATTGAGTATACACACATTAGTACTACACAGGAGGAAGGTTGCCAATCCCATGGAAAAAGTAATGTTCACATAAATATTCCACTTAAAAACAAAAATTCAATGCCAAAAAAGGAAGTAACTTTAATAATATAATTAAAAGAGCCATGATAGAGAATAGAAATTCTCAGAATGTCTTACACTGATTAGTACAGTTTTGATAACTGCTATCTTATCATTTTCAAAAAGTATACAAAGCATAAAAATGTGTGGGAAAAAGCATGTAAGGCGGTATATGAACGGGAAATGAAGAATGAGGCTAAAACTTAAGTTTTTGGCTTATGGGCTGATCTTTGTGCTAGAGAGGCATTTGATTTATGTGTATCTGTGTAATCCACATATGAGTGATTTTTTTTTACTTCATTTAATCCTAGTAACTACCCAGCAAAAAATTACCATATTCTCATTAATCAGATATAGAAACTGACATTCAGAAGTGGGATTAAGCATCTTGTCCAATCTTCCATGACTTCGAGTGGCAGAGCTGGATATGAACAAGGCTGCCTGACTCTTAGATCAATTAAGACAACAAACTGTTTGGGAGGCCGAGGAGGGTGGATCACGAGGTCAGGAGATCGAGACCACCCTGGCTAACATGATGAAACCCCCGACTCTACCTAAAAATTAAAACAAAAGTTAGCGCCGAGTTCCTGGTGGTGGCGCCTCGAGTCCCAGCTCATCTCAGGAGCCTCGAGGCAGAGCTTGCAGTTGAGCCTAGATCGTGCCACTGCACTCCAGCGCTGGGGGACAGACTGAGGACCTCCATCTCAAAAAACAAAAAATAAAAAAAAAAAACTAAACACCTTTTCCCCATCTCGCAGAATGAACCAATTCCTTAATATTGTATCAGAAAAACTTAGTTGTGATATAGAGAGAGGAGAGAAGAATAGACGCGAGAGAAGGATTTCCCTCAGAATTTGCCAAAACCAGGTTGATACGCATAAAACATAAGAACCTGCAACTGCTTCTAATGGTTTTCAGCATTCATCTGCCTTAGACAAGTCTAGGAGAAGTCCCAAATAACCTAACTATCCCTGCTAGAATTATGCTTTTATAATTCCAAGTGACCAATAGCATATACTTGTATAAGTAATGCTTAAAATGAATAGTTTTAACATGAATCAATAAAACTGGAGAACAATTATATAAGAATCACAATCTAACTTTAAAAAGTCCAAATACAAATAGATATCACAACAGTATAAATTACTCTCAATCTACAGATGAGAAAATTAAGGGTACAGTAATAAACCAATAAAAGACCAAGAAAAGGAGAAAGCAAGTCTCATTTTATTCCACTTTTGGTGGTTTGCTATAATGCTTTTCTTTCTACCAACAATCTTTATGAAAATTATTAATAAAATTCAAAGAATCAAAATCCTATAACATTCTAATCACAAATAAAGCTGACAGACTAGACAGCAAAAAATCACTGAAGAAAATACACAACAAAATATGAGACATACCTGAGATACATCATCAAGTTGAAATTTCCCATAAAGACCAGAGATACTTTCAGCTCGCATGAGATACTCAGCTGTCCTTCTCTTTACAGCTTCTCGACGGGTAGGGCTTGACTCGCCTAAAAAAAAAAAAAAATCTGAACATGTAAAAAATAACCTTTCTTCAGTTCAACCTGAAAATTAATACTTCCTTGTACCCAATGTGCAGCTTATTCACGTTTCTAACTGAAAAGAAGAGATATTCAAAATTGGAAAAGACATGAAAGTTATTAATATCAACCAAGTCTAACTATTACCCCCCATTATTTCATTTATCCAAATTCTAACATTCTCCTATTTAAGTATGTATTGATAATTTGACGTATTTTAGTAGGAGTCAAATACATAAGAAATGTCTATCTGTAAAAAGCTCTGAAGATAAAAAGACTAGCCCTAGTCCAGACATTATACAGCTAAGCAACTCAACAAATAGGACCAAATGCAATAGATGTTGTGTGTGTGTGTGTGTGTGTGTGTGTGTTTACAACCTTGGATTTTTCTAAAAACCAAATCCTACAAAATAATGTTTCCTGGTTTGCTGAACTGAAGTGAAATGAATTATAAAAAAGAGATAATTTCTCCCAAAAGACTACTAGTAGAACCCTCTTCTTATTTCTGCCTGGAACAGCATCTCCTCCTGCTTCCGGGGAAATGACCCTTTCTTCTTCCCATCATACTCTTCCACCACTTCCCCCCATCACTAACCAGGTGGTTTGAATGAAAGCTGCTTTCTTGTTTCAGATGTCAGTCCCTCTAATCACCAAGGTCCATTTAGCCAAGGGTGGGCCCCCCTAGTCACAAGCTGAGCCAATCATAGAACCCTATCCTCCTGGCCACAGTTTAAGAAGGGGGGAATTAGCACAACACAAACTGGACTGTCTTTGTTATTCAAGCTGTAAATAAGAGGAGTAGGAACTGCCAACAGCCGGTTTCTGCCAATGCAAAAAAAGGCCAATGTGAAAAAACGAACTTGACTCAGAAAGCAGATATGGGAGACTTAAAAGGAAAATAGAAAGAAATCCCAGTGTTTTCAGGTGAACCTACATTCCTCTAACGTAACTGGCATCGGCAAAGCCACATTCCTGCCCTTCTTTCCCTGAGGTAGTTCAAATTTGGATTTCCGCACATGCAAACCAAAGAATTTTGACTAAATACAGACGTCAGCGAAAAGCTGCAACAAAGTTGGGATTGCAATTTTGCTAAATAACTTTCCTTTCACACCTTTTACATTACAATTCCATCTCTTCTCTCTTTCATGAGGAATTCACAAACATAACTGGTCTTGGTGGGGGAAAAAATTCTATTGCTTTTTAACCGTGGAACCATCTACATTTATTTATTAACTCTCCAACTCCTCAACCCGCAATTAAAATGTCAGTGTACTTCTGCCTCTACCCTTACAATCTGCTTACTTCCTAAATGCAAGGTTTTAGAGGGCTTTTCTACTCAGTTGAAAAATGAGTATCTTCTGTGAAAATCACTTAAATAACTATAACATACTTTGAAGATAAACATGCCATATAATAACAGCTATTCACTATTTCTACACAATACTAGTCCTTTGGTTTAGGGTTTACTGTGTCTAGAGTCTGCTATTTCCATTCTCACTAGCTCTTCTCATTTCAGATTATGCCTTCCAAGCCCTAATTTAAATCCCCATTTAAGATTTTTGATTCACCTTAGGCTCAAATATAATAAAAACTATGGCAATTTACCTTTAAATTCAGTGTATTTAAGCTTTAATAACATTTCAAAATTTGTTTCGTGAAAAAAAATCAACTCATCTCACAAAATAATTTGGAATTCGAAAACGCCAAGATATGGAACACCTAGTTAAAGCTAGAGTTAAAGCCATATTTTATAATCAAATTACTATTTTTTAAACTTTTGGTTTTTCTGCCACTTTCTAGGCAGTCTCCATAGCAACAGAGAAACAAGAACCAGAAGCCAGAAGTTGAAATGGACTCCTGCTGAATATGGTGGTTCCACTTCCAAGGAAACTACAATGAAGTGATGGAAATACTGAAAGGCTTTTTAAATGTAGCCTTATATATAGGCCAGGTGCAGTGGCTCATGCCTATAATCCCAGCACTTTGGGAGGCCGAGGCAGGTGGATCCTGTGAGGTCAGGAGATCCAGACCATCCTGGTCTACTAAAAACACAAAAACTTAGCTGGGCATGGTGGTGGGCAACTGTAGTTCCAGTTACTCGGGAGGTTGAGGCGGAGAATGGCGTGAATCCAGGAGGCAGAGCTTGCAGTGAGCCAAGATCGCGCCACTGCACGCCAGCCTGGGCGACAGTGCGAGAGACTCCATCTCAAAAAAACAAAAACAACAACAACAAAAAACACAAAATTAGACAGGCATGGTGGCGGGTACCTGTAATACCAGCTACTCATGAGGCTGAGGCAGGAGAATCACTTGAACCCGGGAGGCAGAGGTTGCAGTGAAGTCAGATCGTGTCACTGCACTCCAGCCTGGGCGACAGAGTGAGACTCGGTCTCGGAAAAAAAAAAAGTAATCTTATATGTAAATACTATGGTTCCTTCCTCATCCGTCCCTTAAAAGGAGGTCATCATCACTGCTGATCAATAGCAGCATTCAAGAATAAAAACTATCTCTTGAAGATTTCTGCTCCTGGATGCTTATTCAGGTTTGTCAGCATCAGCAAAAAAAAAAAAAAAAAAGCTGACTCTATAGATTTCCAGGATATTTCTAACTAGTCAAATTATTGACAAATGTGACTTTAAACAGATTTTAATTGACTAAAAAATGTTTAACTAACTCTAATCTGCTTGATTTCTTGTTCTCCATTTTAAAATACGCACACACACAGTCCACAATGATTATTTGTTAATCATTCAGCTAGAGCAAGAATTTCTACTGGGCTTATACATTCAACATAAAAAAACTTATGCATTCAAAAAAGAAAAACTAGGCTGTGGCTCACTCCTATAATCCCAGCACTTTGGGAGGCCAAGGTGAGAGAACTGCTTGATCCCAGGAGTTCAACACAAGCCTGGGCAACACAGCAAGACCCCATGTCTGTCTCTATTGAAAATACAAAAATCAGCCAGACATGTTGGTGCGCACCTGTGGTTCCAGCTACTTGGGTGGCTGAGGCGGGAGGATCACTTGAACCCGGGAAGTCATGGCCGCAGTAAGCCATGCTCATGTCACTGCATGAACCACTGCACTCCAGCCTGGGGAACAGAACAAGATTCCGTCTTTAAAGAAAAAAGAAAAGAAAAACTGTTCCCATTATTCAATAACCTTTATGTTAAAAAGTTCTGGTGTATCATAAAAGATGTCTTAATGTGGATTGTGACAACCTGTGTTTCTTCACCTTCTCAATTTCTGATCATACAGGGTGATTATAGTGTGTGATCGCTGACAGGGAGTGGCTGAGTAGATGTGAGGAGAAAATCCAAAGTTGTTGATGAAATTTACAGAAACACTCAATTACCCATCCTGTGTTTCTCAGTGCACCATCTCTGACTTCAGTCACTAAGGAAAGTTTTATAGAAGGCATGGTATACAGATAACGGAATCCAGAAATTCTAACTTATCCAAGAAGCCATCACCGTTTGGTACCCTTCATTATACTACATTCTATTTATAAGAAATATATTATTTTCTTTCATAAGAAAATCAAGTCTCAAGAATGTGAAATGTCTTTCTCAGTTACACAGTTACTTTAAGAGCCTGAACCTAAACCAGGTCTTACACCATACTTTAGGGTACTTGCCACTATCTTAAGCTACCTTTCAATATAAAGTACTGTAACTGAATTTGAATTTGATTATTCAACTGTTCCTGAATAGAACAAGAAAAATACAGAGCATGGGAGAAGTACAGGTGAGTATGGAAACAAAGATACAGAGAAATAAACATAAGAAGTTGAGAAAGGTGCCTGTCAGGCAACAAAACAAAGTGGAATCAGAATGGAGAGACAAAGACAACATACAAACATACAGGAGAACTGGAGCTACAAAGAGGTATATGTCATACCATATAAAAGACAATAGGCCTTTCTGGAAAAAACTAGTCTCTTGAACATCTTTATTACCCAAATATTTATTTGGAAAACAATGGCCTTTTCTCATTTACCCATTTAAAAAAAAAATCAAGGGGCATTTTTACTCATGGAACTAATAAAATTCATTTAGCAACCTAGAAGAAAAAATAGTTCTTCCAATTCTACCCTTAGTCACTAAAAAGAATATAACTAACAGCCTCATCATTTGTTTAACAAAAGAAAAGCCATGCTCGAGGAAGAACAAGCCAATTTAAACATCTTGAAAGACAATGTGTCTGTATCTGTGTTTCATGGGAAATTTTAAGGGGTTATTAAGAGTATTTTGACTCTATTTGATTTTTGCCACATGCACAGAACTTAATCCCCACATAAGACTCTACTTAGTCACATTTTATTATATTCTTATTTTTATTTCGCTACACCACAAATACTCTCCCAGTGGGCCCTGTGCTTAGTCGAGCATGCTTGATTTCATTCAGATTTATCACAACAGAAAGAACATCCAAATCAAACTGGGTTTGAGTTTCTGTTTGTTGCTGCTTTTTTGCTTTCTTTTTTTTTTTTTTTTTAACAACTTTAGTCACATAAAAGAAAACTCACGCTTGAGATGGCCTTGGTAGTTATAGTTAGTTTTTTTTAAGTGCTGATTTATTACGTTTAATGGTGTTTTGTTCTTTTCAGGTACAGCCTACCATTTCTGCCTTATGCTAAGTGTTCTGACAACAAAAGGCAACCTTGAGAAGAACAGTAATTTATAGTTCTACACGTCTACCACAACTCTGAAGCCATCAGCCTTTCCATGTATAACATGAACCAGTCAGGGAATCTGATTTCCATTTGCATTTAGTCAACCCCCTATTAATGTTTTTTCAAAACCAATTTCATGTGACCCCTAGAAATTCAGAGAGCCACCAAAGAATAGTAAAAGCAAAAGTCATAATATTGATGCCCAAGCAATGCCTCAATTATGATTGTTTCAATGATGTTTAGCAGTTTTTCTGCTATCAGTAACACTAAATGAAAACACATATTATACATCATT